AAGAAGAAGAAGAAGAAAATGATGCTGGGGAACCTGCTTTCATATACACCATGTTTGGAATACATATTCTGGATCTTCTTATGCTAATCCTTAGCCACTCCTTTTCGCAGCACAGGGCTTTGAATAAAAAGGCTAAGGGTTCCTTACAGATAAATGGCTGATTTGTTCACTCCTGTTAAGTACCTATTTGAAAGGATAAATATTACACCACCAAAGTCACTGTTTTGGGGGGGATTATACTTTAAGGTTGACATTGTAGAGACAAATAAAAAGGTTGATGAAAACATGTAGAAATAGCATTAGATCAAAACGACAGGAAGGCACCTCTCACTGCAGGAAAAACAGCTACTATAAGGGCATCTTTAAATTTTCAGATTTGTTAGGGTTTTTTTTTTTTTAAATCTGAGACCAGTGGAAAATAACAAAAGCTGGCCCTCATATAGGGCATACTAGTGCCCAAGCATTATTCTATGTGATTTACATATACTAACTCATTTCTCAGACCCATCTTTTGAGATGAATCCCATTATGATCTCCATTTTGGACCGGAAATGAAACTGAGGGGCAGAGAGGTAATATAACGTGATCAAGGTCATAGAGCTAGAAGTGGAGGAGCTGAGATTCAAAACCAGGCAATCTGGCTACAGTACACCAAAAAGGAAAGCACTGATTTGGGTGCCTGGTGTACTTGTATGGATTATAAAGAAAATCAATTATCTTTTCTGATTACGATAATCCCAGCATTTATACAGTCTGTTACATGCCAGAGATGCTAATACATGCTTCAGTTACATTCTCTCATTTCTTCTTCACAATAAACCCGTGAGGTGCTATTTTTATCCGTTTTACATTCAAAAAAATTGTTTAAGGTCACAGAGATGACAATGATTCGCCCAAGGACTGAATTCCAGGCAGGTCGCCTCTACTAGGAGCTTCTCAGTCTTTCCTGGCAGTAAAATGAGGCGAACGGGGGACTTCAAAGGGATGCCACAGGAGTACAATGAAATAATGGATGTGAAAAGGCCTCAGTGAACAAGTGCAAAGGATAAGGCCTACCCACTTGAATCACTGTTGAAAACCAGTTACCCAGGGCCCCTGTCCAACGGTTTCTAGTCCCAACCCTGCCCCTTCTCCGCCCAACCCACAGCGATATCTTTGAATCTCTTTCTCTATCTCCTCAGATCCTGTCCCCAAACACTTGGCGGAGCAGCAGAGCGGAGAATAGAAGGTACGCGCGCGAGCAGGAGGCGGGGCCTGAGGCCTCGATGGGTAAAGGAGGTGGCCTGTACAACACATGCGTGGTAGTTAGACGACTTCAACCGCCCCCTCCCTGCGGCCAATCAGAGCCCGCGGCGCGCTCAGGACGTATGAACGTTGTGTGGGTCGTTACGTGCCAGGGGGGCGACGTAAGGGCGCTCCGCGAGCCCGTCTCTCCTCGAATGAAAGGAAACAACCTCCGGCGACAGAGCTCCGCTCTTAGGCGCTGCCGGAGAACCGAGACCGACTTCTTTCTCTTTTCCCTTATTGGCGCTTCTCTCTTGCCTTCCGCCTCTGGGCCCCGCTGGTGAGTCCCTACAGAACCTTGGGCCCCCCATTCTCTGCCCGGCGGGAGAAGACAAGGAGGATGGCGGTGGCCAGGCCGCCGCCCCTGCCCGTTGTTATAGGGGACTCTTGGTGGTCTCGCTTTATTGTCAGGGACCCCAGAAGCGCCGTTCATTGTAGGTACTTGGCGAAGAGGCTGCTGAGAAAGTGTTTTGAAGGTCTAGAAGGAGACGTTAGGTTTAAACGTAGACTTCGGGGGAGGGGTCGCAACATTTGAGGAGGGAAAAATTGGGAATTTTTAGTCTTTGCCATTTCTTAAGACATATTTGGGAAGGAGGGAGACTCCCAGTTTGGGAAGAGGAAGGGAAAAATTGTTAGGATGGCAAGAGGGTTAGCTTTAAAGAATGAGAAAAAAATCTCTGGGGTGGGGGCAATTAGGGGTGAAACTGAGGTATAAGGCAAACCTTACAGCGAGGACTGTTAAAGGGCGAACTCCTGGGGGAGGGGGCGTAAAGAAAGTGGTAGGAGGATATTTTCCTGAATTTGGGAAGATTGGGAAAGGACAATTAGGGGACCCTGACTTAACGACTGAAAGGAACCTGCTGAAGTGTTTTAGAGGAAGATAGTTTTGCGACTTTAGCGCTTGATTAGAGAGAGATCTTGGAGTCCAGTGTGTATTGGGGAATAAATAACGGAGAGGATCGAGTACGTTCTGTGTACCATCCTTTATGATATGGACGAACGGCGCTGCATTCTTTTGCAATTTCCATTCGTTTCGATATTCTGCGTGGAAGTTGAAAAATCTTTTGTTTTTGAAAAACCTTTTATTTTCATGAGCTTACTACGTAATGTCAGATCTTATTCATACAGTACAGATTCTTTCTCGACCCTTGGGCTTAAAACAACTGGAAAATTCCTTTAGTTTCCTTTTGAATAACCGCAAAAAGCAGTGCGAAGCATGTAATAATACCGTGCAACCAAATTCAGGTGCCCTTCCGGTACATCTCTTATTCGTTTATTTCTGTATACTGTAACTTTACCGATAGAAATACTGCTTCTTTGGGGATCACGTTTAAATATTTTGATTTATATATTTCAACTAGCTTGCGTGTGGAGTGTTTTAATCTTCCGGAACTGCAGTTTTTGTTTTGGTTTTTTTTCTCTCCCCCCCTCCCCCCATGAAAATGCTCTTTCAGAAACCAGGCTTTGAATGAGCTCTTGAGTTGATTCTTGAATGCTCTCTTTGATGTTTCAGATTATTTCTACCTTGGTGCTTCACAGCATCTTGCAAAATGAGAAATGCATTGATTGCTCGTAGCTTTAGTTTTTTTTAGATATTTAAATTGTTTCTTATGTTGCTACTGTTGCCTTGTTATTTCTGCTTTGTAGCATTTTCCACGTTATGTTTCTTTTAAGTACCATGTTTCACTGGGTGAAAGCATCAAACTTTGATCTGTACATGCCCTGAAAAGCGTTTTAGACTAAAATTAAAATGCCACGTAGCTGTGGATTATTATGAACCCCTTAGTATTGGTCCTTGGAATGCCCTCATTCTACTTCATTAGACGCGACAAATGTGACAGTATTAGATAAAAATCTGTATTTTTATGATAAATACGTTTTTGCTAGGAATCATTGTTTCCATGATGTTCTCCACTTCATGCTTTACAAGGAGGCTGTTAAAAAAAAATCGAGATATGCACAGATGCATTATTTGAATTTTAGTGGAAAAATCCATTTAGTCATTGGACATTGGGGAAAGTTTTTAATTGGTTTATTTGCACTTCTGTGTGGCTCTATTCACTTTAGAAATTAAATTTAAACCGATTACAGAAAAAAATGCAGTAGAATATTTTTAAATGCAAAGTAAAGTGTACCTTTTTTCTCTTTTAGGTTTCGGGTCTTCAGTGTCTAGGAAGGCAGATTCTCAAAATTAGGGTGAGAAATTTGACCGTTCATAAATCGAAAGAGATAGAATTTAATATGGTTGGAATTTGGGGGATGGCATTTCAGAATTAATATTAAGAATAATGAGTGATTTTCCATTCTAGTATTCTTTATCTTAAGCCAGTTTTATAGCCAGTGTTAAGATTTGTATAGAAATTGCACATTAAAGATGTCTATACAGATTACATTTATACAAATAGGATGACATGGAGAAATGCTGAATATATTACAGTGATTTTAGAGTACTGCTATTCATTGCATAGCAGTAAGGAAAACTAGTTTAGAACTCAAATAGGAAATTATGGTGCTATTAGTGCATTTTGGTATTTTGCATAGTTACTTCTAAAAATTTGGGCAGCTATATTCTTGATAAAGCAACTAAACACATACTTGCCTGAGCAAATGCTAACACACTTCCCCTTTTCTTTCTTTTGTTTCTTTGTTATGTCCTTTATTTTTTTAATCCTAAAAGTATTTGCTGCCTGTTGTCAATCAGCTTCACAGCCAGTGCTATGAATACAATACTATTGTAAAGTATCCTTTGCCATTTGGAAGATTGAGGTAGTTAAAATTGTAGATATCATTAAGAGTTTGTTAACGCCATCAAAGCGACTGTCAGGGCCTTTGAAGTTTTGATTAAAAGAAAATCCTAGACATGTTTTCTTTGTGGCTTCATGTTAAATTTTGATTGTCTGAATTTTTATATTGAAAAACACTGAGTGGTTTGTAGGTATTCACTTGTTGGTATCCAGCTACTACTATTCTTGTTGGTGAGCAAATGGTTCTCAGAAAGCTGTAATGTAGTGTTAGCCAATTTTTTCAGCATGGTAATATGAAAATGTTCAAATATGTAGAAAAATGGAAAAGACTTAGTACATTGATTTTTTTTAAGACAAAAGTTTGAAATTTTATTGGTCATGAAGTGTTTTGTGTATGGGACTTGAACTGCTTAGTCCTGTTGATTTGGGAAAGCTACACAAATCAGATAACTGGTTTTAAATTTGCATAGAATTGTCCAGAATTTTAAATTTGGTTAGTATTGTTCAGAAGAATCCATGTTGAGATCAATGATCTAAATCTGAAACCTTCCATGTTAGAGCTTTTCTTCCCTTTTCTGACTATACTGTGCTATCTGTAATTAAAATGTGACCAAATTTAAGGCTAATTCAGAAAAGCATTTCTTCCTGGACACAGTACTACTAATTTAAGTATGAAAATTACTACATTTAGAAAACCACTATCCATTTGTGACTTAATTAATAAGCAGTCTTGGAGTAAATCTTAGAGTCATATAATATAGCTGTTTTATGAATAATTGGATCCTAAAGCCTGCATTTTAAAAAAGACTGTTAGAAGCTTAGTTTTTTTCTTTACGTGAACAAAGAATAGAATTGTAAAAAATAATTTCTTAAAGACATATACATGATTTTTTAAAACTCAGAAATCAAGTTTAAGTGTTCAAAAGTTATAGTTGAGTAAATTCATTTTACTTTTATTGTTCTGTCAACATGTGGACTTTTAAGAAATTGTGCAGTTACAGAATTCTGTTACCTCTGAATATTTTATAGTTTTATTAGTAGTTTTTGCTCTATTCTTAGATATATAATTCTTTGTTTCTTTGAAGGGGCACCCCAGCTATACATGAAAAATATGTTACATTCATTATGCCAGCAGGTGATGATTTATTATTGTACATTGTACATTTTTATCCACATAGAAGTGGTTCTAATTCTTTCACATATCTCCTAGTTTGGGAGCAGTTTGATTTTTCTTAATTACTCTAAACTTCATTTTTAGTTATCTATTTGTATTTATTACAGAGGTGTCTTAGGTTTAAATATTGGTTCACCTATACAAACTAGCTATTTGAAAATGTATTATTTAAACCTAGGTCAAACATTAAACAACTTACATGAATATGTATAAAAGGATTTTAAACCAAAATTAACTCTTTTGTTACCCATCTTACTCTCTGTAGCATTTCTTAAGGCTTAAAGTGGCATTCTAAAGGCAGTTTAAAAATCATGTCAAGCTCAGTTGAACAGAAAAAAGGGCCTACAAGACAGCGCAAATGTGGCTTTTGTAAGTCAAATAGAGACAAGGAATGTGGACAGTTACTAATATCTGAAAACCAGAAGGTGGCAGCACACCATAAGTGCATGGTAAGTACACTGCAGCAACCAAGAGACCTTGAAATCATTCACAAGAATAATAATGTGAATATTCCTGAATACTAAAAAAGAAAAATCAGTTAAATTTGTAAGCAATGATTTATCACTAATGCTATGACATTTTTATTGGAAAATTTCCTTTTAAATTTAACATCTTATTCACTGTTTTGCTGTAACTAATTTATATGTGAACTTTAATTTTTTAATGTAATTTATAGCTTTTTTCATCTGCTTTGGTATCATCACACTCTGATAATGAAAGTCTTGGTGGATTTTCTATTGAAGATGTCCAAAAGGAAATTAAAAGAGGCACAAAGCTGGTAAGTTGGTATTTCTGCCTCTTGAGAATAAAAATTATTTTGAACTCATTAAGGAAGAAATTGCTTATTTTAGAGTGCATTGTGTTACTAACTGAGTTTAATTTTAAACTGCAGGTTTTTTTTCTGAGCCAGCAAAATTCAAGGCTGGGTTTAACTTATTTACCACTCAACGAAAAAGGACTTAATATTATTCAGTTTTTTCAAAAACAAAGTTTTCTTGGAGGCTGTGTTTACTTAGAAAACAAGCAGTTTGATTAATTTGAATATATCATGTATTCATTCCAGTACATTTTTCATAATTCTGATATATTTTCATCTTTCTTCATAAAGTTGTCATTACAAATGAAGATGACAGTACCCTCTCAAGAAGAAAATGTTAGCACTTGTTGAACAAAGTATTTCACTGTGATTGAGGTATATAACACAGTATATATGACTTTGGATAACTTTCAGTGAACATTACAGGAGTTTTTGTGAAGCTGTGCTAGAGTAATTTTCCTGTAGTTGTCTTTTCTACCAGTGATCAAATTGGTAAGATATAATATGCTCTACTGGAAAAGTACTGTGATCTCAGTTGATATTTATGATACATTATGATTTAAATTAATGGAAAGATTTATTTTCATTTAGTTTTCTCATTTTGAGCTTTTTGTTGAAATTACATACATAAATTTACCTTCAGTAGCTTCACTATTTAGTGTTCCATTATTTAAAATACGAGTTTGGCAAGACACAGATCTATGTTTTTAGTCACTGTATAACCTCTTATTTCACAAAGAATTTGAGACAGTTTTTGGATGAAATGGTGATGAGATAAGTGCTACGGTTTTCAATGGAGGTTTTTTTTTGGTTTTTGGTTTATTTGTTTTTTTTTACAGTTTTTGGCCGAGGCCAGGTTTGAATCCACCACCTCTGGTGTATGGGGCTGGTGCCCTACTCCTTGAGCCACAGACGCCGCCTGGTGCTATGGTTTTGATGATCAGGAGTAATATTTTTTGAAATGTAGTCTTATAATAATAGATAAAAAGCAATATGAATAAATATAAGTTCAAAAGTAACATAAGAAATTTGCTTTAGAATAGTGTCAAATTCTAGTATCAGTATTGGTACAAGTGAGAATCCAGAGGTCAGAAAGCCGGACTTTTTTGTTGTAGTAAGTCCTTAACTGAAAATGTTAATCTTTTCAACCCTCAAAACCGTAGGTAGTAATATAAAGCTCCATTTTAAAAACATGATTTTTATTTAGTGTGCTGATTTCTGAGAACCAGAGAACAATGTTTTTTATTTCCTAGTCCTTGAAACAAATGCAGATACAAAGAAAGAATGCTATTTACTTGAAAGTGGTTATTCATTCCTTGGCATTATGAATATCACTGGAAAATACTTCTATATCCTGACCTGGCATTTTTGTCATTTGATGTGGCTCCTCTAGTCAGAACAGGAGGAGTTGGGCTCCTAATGTTGAATATTACTAACAAACGCAGTATGTAGTTTTTTGTGTTACATGAAGCAGCAGCGTATACCTGGTAGCATTGCTAAATTCAATGGAGATTTGATTTATTTGGACCCATTTGTTAAGAAAACATCAGAAGTTTATACAAATTTTGCTTTTATAAATTGTTTTGATTAATTTTTTTTTTTTTTTTTTTTGCAGTTTTTGGCCGGGGCTGGGGTTGAACCCGCCACCTCTGGCATATGGGGCCAGCGCCCTACTCCTTTGAGCCACAGGCACCACCTAAAATATTTTCTTTTTCTTTTCTTTTTTCTTTCTTTTTTTCTTGCAGTTTTTGGCTGGGACTGGGCTTGAACCCACCACCTCCCGATATGGGGTCAGCACTCTACTCTTTTGAGCCACAGGTGCCGCCCTGTTTTGATTAATTTTTAATGTTATAATGTTAGGAGTTAATTTTTTCCAAATTTATGTTATAAATAACTTGTCCTTTGATCTAAGGAGTGGAACAATATTGGAGGTTGAAACCACAAGTTATCATAAAAGACCTTGGTTTGAATCCCAACTCTGTCACTAGCTGGGTGACCCTGAATAAGTTATTTACTTCTCTAGGTCATGTTTTTCTCACCTGCAAAAGGGGGATAATGACAGTACTGGCCTCCCAGAATTATTGCCAGGATTAAAAGAGAGAATATATAGGATTTAGGCTGGTGCTAGGCACGTAGTTAGGACTTGATAAATAGTAGCCACCTCTGTAGTAACTGTTTATAAATAAAGATAAGGCATTGCTAATATCATTGTAGGCTAATGAAAAGTATACTGGGCTGCCACTACATAACACATTAACTAAACAGTAATGTTGCATAACTAAAAGTGCTACAAAAGATACAAAGAGTTATCTTAGAAAGAGTGTTTCATGTGTCATTTTGAGGCTGTGGACGTCCAGCTTTGAGAAATAGTGGCAGAAAGGGACAACTACTTTGCTTCTTTTCCTTTCTCCACAGTGTCAGAATTTAAATAACTTAACGTAGGAAATAGGAGGGCAGAATTTATATGTTTAAGTTTGAAATAATGTTTAAGGTTATTTTTAGCCCTCAGTGGTCCTCCTTTTCCTGTACAAGGTGTCCCGAGTTACCCCTAAAGTCGCCATACATAGGGAAAATGGGAAATTGTAGGTAAATGTACCTTCATTTACAAAATATTCCTTACGAAATTTTACAAAGAGGTGGCTAACACATAGAAAATATTTTGTAAATATTTTTAGGGGTGACTTTTGGGACACCTTCCAGCATTTTTATATGACATGATGTTAACTAACCAAACTTCCAGATTTTAGTTTTCTTCTTTACTTTCCCCTGTGTAGACTGATCTAAGTAATAAAAGGGCCATAAATTAAAATAAAAGGAAAGGAAAAAAGTGGAGAACGTTCATGTAACTAGATAAGCTACATATAAAATTAATAATCAGCTTCTCTAATTGACTTTTGAAGGCATTTTATCCCATGAGCTTATTGGCCTTGGCCTGTTCATCTGGATTTCTAGGTGAAAAGTAGGTCATGAATAATCATTGAAAACAGGAGTGCTGGCCCGTGAATGCTTTCCAGACAGATTTCAGTCTGTACCTGGTATTGGCTCCAAAACTGCTCATTTTCCTCAAAGAAAAAGAAATGAGAGAGATTGGGGCTTGAGGCAAAAAAGCCTTTGTATGTTGGTGGCCAGGTGGGTCAGTTTTGCGAGGATAGAAGGGTTCAGTGGAGCAGGAGGTGTGGGTGTGTGGTTTCTGTGTTCCTGCTGCCGTAGGCAATTTTCCAAGGTTTTCACATCAGCCACAAGGATCAGCAGAGGAAAGCCATTCTGCATGAATATATTCATCTCTTTTCATCATCTTTAAGTATGTAGCACCAAGGCAGACCAGGAAAAATTTGCCAGAGTACTGAGGCATTTATCACTGAGGCCCTGTTTTTGTAGTTTAGACAGATACATATTTTTCCAGAATGATTTCCAGTTCCTACTGAAGCCATATGGAGACATCACATCTGCACCGTCTATTCTTATGCTCCAAAAAATCTAGCCAAAAAATGCGAATTTCCAAGTAAAATTGTGAGTTATCATTGCTTTTTGCAATTTGTTTAAGGAAACACTTGAGAAGAGTATATTTGAAGAACATATTCTGGATAAAGCTAGGTGGTGAGATCCCTAGGAGCGTCTACATTGGATACCTACTGTTCTAATTGCTACCTGTGTCAGATACATATCAAACTATAAAAACAAAGAGTTCAAAAAGCCTTTTAGTTCACCTTCCTTTCCCTTAGGCAGAATTACCTACTTGCTATCCAAGATAAGATTTCTGTCCACCCTGTCCTTGAAATAGTCAAGAAATTGTGATTCTACCCAAGTACAGGCAGTTGCCACACTATGAACAAGATAGGTTCTGTAGGTTTGTTCTTAAGTTGAATATCTATGTAAATTGGAACAGGCATATTTATTACCTGTAATCACCTCCATTCATAAGTGTAAATTGTGCAGAAGTTGGTTGTTTGTAACTTGGTGACTGTCTGTAACCTAAAACAGAACCAGTTGTACATATCTCTTCAGAATTCAAAAATTCATCCTTCTGTATAACTGAAGTATTTCTCTTAAAGTCATTTATTCTAGGTCTGTCTCCTTCCCTAAGAATTAGTTGGGGTCTTTTCTTTTCTTTTTTTTTTCTTTCTTTTTTTTGAGACTGAGCTTCAAGCTATCACCCTGGGTACAGTATTGTGGCATCACAGCTCACAGCAACCTTCAACTCCTGGGCTTAAGTGATTCTCTGGCCTCAACCTCCCAAGTAGCTGGGACTACAGGCACCCACCACAACACCCGGCTATTTTTTGGTTGTAGTAGTTGTTGTTTGGGAGGCCTGGGCTGGATTTGAAACCACCAGCTCTGGTGTATGTGGCTGGTGCCTTAGCTGCTTGAGCTACAAGGCGCCGAGCTGTGTTTTTTTCTTCTTACTTGATGACTGTCCTCAAGTCACTCCTAAACTTTCCCTTTTTAAAACTAAATTTTACTTAAACATGTCTTATAAAATCATCTGAAATTTTTTTTCTACTTTTTCTGGTAGGAGAAACTGCTAATATTTGTTGAGCACTTAACATATGCCAGGGACTAAATACATAGTTGTATTAAATCTACACAGTCATACTCTGAGATTCATCTCTACATTATACATGAGAAAACTGAGGCTCAGAGAAGGTAAGTAACCTGGCTGTGGTCGTATAGCTAGGGAAGGGCACAGTTGGGATTTGAATCCATGGCCAGTCGACTCCAAAAACAGAACTCCTAATCACCAGGTATACTAAACTATCTTCTGAGCTACTCAACCCACAATCATATTTTTAAAAATACAGGGATTAAAAAAAATAAAAAATACACAGATTAGAGCTTAATACTTTTCTAATAAAGATGGAAATAGTGTTGGATTTAGGATATAATCAGACTCTTATTAATTGATTTGTTCTGTTAATAGCATTATCTTGTTAGTTTTTAGGACAGAAACCCTATATATATCC